GCAGGAGGTTGCGGGCTTTCGGCCGGGGTTGCGGAGTGGCGGCTGGAAGGGTTTAGGGTTTAGGGTTTAGGGTTTAGGGTTTAGGGTTTAGGGTTTGGGGTTTGGGCTGCTGCAGCGCCGCATTGACAACCTCATGCGCTGGGCGAACTACCACTTCGGGACCAGCCAGTCGCAGCTGCAGCTGATCTTCAAAGTGGTGTTGGAATACCAAGTGCGGCATTTAATTAATTCAACAAACAAAACAAAAAACAAAATGAACAAAATAAACAAATAAACAAATAAACAAAATAAAATAAAAGAATAATCAAATGCAGTGCTACTGAGGTGTAGCTACAGCAATGCAGCTGCTGTTCAACAGTTGAAAATTCTGCGGGCAGTGGGTTGTTGTTGCTGTTTTTTGGTTCATTTCCCTTTTAATTATTTTATTTTATTCTGTTTTGTTCTTTTATTTTGTTTTGTTTTATTTTATTTTATTTTATTTTATTTTATTTTGTTCCATGTGTTGTTCATTGTCGCTTTCCGTTTCAGGTGTTGGCGCGACTCGGCGGCAGCTCGAAGACCGCGAGGTCGCAGCTGAAGCTGCTTTATCAGTTCATGTAAATAAGAAAAATAAAACTAAAATTAACGGAAATAATAAAAATAATAAAGTTAATTAATAATGAACAACTGAACGCGCAAAAGAAATAAAGGCTGCTTTCCAAATTTGACCAGTGGGGGCGTCGCTTCTGGGGTGTACAGACACCTGTCTGTATCGAGTCTTTCTTTGCACAAAGTGGGAAAGCGCTAAAAAAGGGTTTGCAATAAAACGCTGATCTGCAATTTGTTGAAGAATGAGTTTATTTCTTTTAATTTGCTGCCATTTGACGCGTTTTCCGTTCGAAAAGACGGAGGTCTTGTGCATTTTTCGCGTTTCGTCTTGCACGCGCGTTGGCGGAACCTTCGCGATCTTCGGACTAAATGGCTTTCTTGTTGGAATCTTTTTGTGAAAAAGAAATTCAAAAAGTTTTTAATTTGCAATTCCGCGACTTTGGCAGCAGATCGCAGCAGTTTGCCGCAGTTGGCGGGAAAGCTGAACTTGAATTTTTGCACGAGGGGCGGCGCAGCACTTTGAACACTTCCTGCGGAGCGAAAGTCCAACTTTGAAGGAAAAAAGAATGCAATTAAACAATTAATGGCATGATGCAATTAACACAATTAATGGCATGAATGCAATTAACTCAATTAATGGCATGAGTGCAATTAGCACAATTAATGGCATGAATGCAATTAAACAACTAATGGCATTAATGCCATTAATCAATTAATGGCATGAATGCAATTAATCAATTAATGGCATTAATGGCATTAATGATTAATGGCATTAATTGTTTGCAGCTCTCGAGACGACGTGGGTCACTGCCTGTGGCTGTACTTGGACTACTTTTTGCTGCACGGCAGCCAAATGACTCGCAGCGAACTCTCCATGTGTTTTCTCGTGTGCAAAGTCGCCACCCAGTGCGTCCAGTCCCTCAGGCAAGTTTATTATTTTGCCATTAATGCCATTAATGCCATTAATGCCATTAATGCCATTAATGCGTTTTTATTCACTTTTGTTGCCACTAAACAGGTCAGTTCAGTCCCTCAGGCAAGTTTATTACTTTGCCATTAATGCCATTAATGCCATTAATGCTTTTTTATTCACTTTTATTGCCTTTTTGGCCATTAATTCGTTTTTATTTCACTTTTTGCCGCATTTGCCACTAATTGGCCAACTAGTTGGCCAACTAGTTGGCTATTTTGGCCATTAATTCGTCATTTAATTTGTTAATTTGTCATTTAATTTGTTAATTTGTCATTTAATTTGTTAATTTGTCATTTAATTTGTTAATTTGTCATTTAATTCGTTAATTTGTCATTTAATTTGTTAATTTGTCATTTAATTCGTTAATTTGTCATTTAATTTGTTAATTTGTCATTTAATTTGTTAATTTGTCATTTAATTTGTTAATTTGTCATTTAATTTGTTAATTAATTCATTAATTCGTCAATTAATTCACTAATTCGACAATTAATTGATTGATTTATTTGTTTATTTATGAGCTCTTCAGCTCACAGTAAATTTATTTATTTAATTTAATTTAATTAATTTAATTCAATTAATTTAATTTAATTTAATTAATTTGATTTGATTGTTTTTTTGTTTAAAGGAAAAGGCCTCCGCCCGTGGTGGTTCGAATGCTCGAAATGCTGCAAGACGAGCAAATTGAATATATCTTCCGAAGAGCCAAAGCAGCAGCAGCTTGGTCCAAAAATGCTGTCAGACCCCACTCTGCTGCTGCTGCTGCTGCTGCTGCTGCTGCTGCTGCTGCAGCTGCTGCTGCTGCTGCTGCTGCTGCTCCAGATGCAGCTGATGCTGCGGCTGCTGGTCTTGCTGCTGCTGTAGCCCTTGCTTGTCCTGCCGCTAGTCCCCTTGCTGCTGCTTGTACTGCTGCTCTTGTTGCTGCTGCTGCTTGTGCTGCTGCTGCTCGCAGCTTGGTCCAAAAATGCTGTCAGACCCCACTCTGCTGCTGCTGCTGCTGCTGCTGCTGCTGCTGCTGCTGCAGCTGCTGCTGCTGCTGCTGCTGCTGCTCCAGATGCAGCTGATGCTGCGGCTGCTGGTCTTGCTGCTGCTGTAGCCCTTGCTTGTCCTGCCGCTAGTCCCCTTGCTGCTGCTTGTACTGCTGCTCTTGTTGCTGCTGCTGCTTGTGCTGCTGCTGCTGTTCCTGTTGCTGCTGCTGCTGCTGCTGCTGCTGGTTTTGTTTTGGGTTTTATCATGAAGTGAATTTTCTTTCCTTCTTTTGAATTTTTTCCTTCGAAGTTTGCTGCTTTCTCTCCCTTCTTTTGAATCACTTTTTTATTTTAATTAATTTGCTGCTGCGGTTTTTCGGCACTTGACGTTCAGGTGTATGTACACTGCAAAGTGGACTTGCCGTTTCGTTCTGGAAATTCAACTTCAGCAGTCAGCAGTTTATTATTTATTTTTTGTCGTTTATTGTTTGTTTTTTGTCATTTATTGTTTGTTTTTATCTTTTATTTTGTGTTTAGGAAGCAGAAAGAGAAGAAAGACTCATTTTATGCGCCGACGTAAATGAGGAAGTCCAGCGGCACGTCATGAAGGGCGGGGACCTGGTGCAAGGTGTACATACACCCCAACTCCGAAACTTGAACTTTGCGAAAAACAGTCAAATCAAATCAAATTTGATTTTCTCTCTTTTCTCTCCACTTTGCTTTCCATTTGGCCGATATAATTTTTAAGTTTTTAATTTATTTTTATTTTCTTTTTCCCTTTTGTTGCGCCGGTGTACGTACAGCTGCGGCGCCGCTGCGAGCTGCGGGCTTTCCAGTTTTTGCATGCATTCATTTATTTATTATTTTATGTTATTTATTCATTATTATTCATCATTCGTTTATTATTTATTCATCATTTATTCTTTATTTTCGTTATTTATTCTTTATTTTCTTTATTTCTTTTATCTCTCGCAGCCCTCCGAATCGAGTCGTCCTCGCCTCTCGTCGGCAGCGACACTTCAGAGTCTGCTTTTGGGGCCTCTGAAGAAGAAGCCAAACAAGACGTAAACCCCTAACGAGGGTTTAGGGTTTAGGGTTTAGGGTTTAGGGTTTAGGGTTTAGGGTTTAGCAGTTGGCCGCGCGTTGGAGGTTGTGCAGCGCCTGCGGTGTTTGGCATTACTTGCTTTAATGGATTGTCTTTCGTTTAGTTAATTGCTGCTGCTTTAATTGTTGTTTGTTTTAATTCTTAATTTAATTCCTAATTGTTTTATCTCTTTTTTTCTTTTTCTTTTTTTATTTTCAGATCTCCCCAGGAGACCTTATGCCCCGCAGCGAATTCAATGTGGCTTTGCCCACAGAGCCTGCAATAGATTTGGCCCGCCAGGCCTCCGTGCTGCGGGAAGCAGCAGCAGCAGCAGCAGCAGCAGGGGCAGCAGCAGCAGCAGCAGGAACTGCGGCCACCAACGCAGCAGCAGCAGCAACGGGAGCAGCACCGCACTCGCCTTCGCCAAACGCAGCAGCAGCAGCAGCAGCAGCGAGCGCTGCAAGCGGCAGCAGCGGGGCCGGAGCAGCAGCAGCAGCAGCAGCTGCTGCTGCTGCTGCTGCTGCTGCTGCTGCGGCTCCTTCCAGAAGCATGCGGAGCGAGCGCGTGGACTCTCTCAAGACGTTGACTGCCAACACCTCTTTACAGGGTTTGTCTTTTGTTTAATTTAATCTAATTTATTTAATTTATTTAATTAATTTAATTAATTTTCCATTTTTTATTTTTGTTTAATTCATTCTCCAACTCTTTGTTCCGTGCTGCATCTTCTCCAGAAAGAGACAAAATCAAGTCCCGGAGATCCTCAAAACTCGACAAAAAACCTACTGAAGGTGAGATCTGCTGCTGCTGCTGCTTCTGCTGCTGCTGTTGCTGCTGCTGCTGTTGCTGTTGCTGCTGCTGTATCTTTTTCGCTTTAATGTTCAGACATTTCGGACTTCTGTCTGTCAAGAGAATGGGAGAAGACCCAGCAAATGCTCACCAATTTATTTATTTTATTTATTTATTTATTTATTTATTTATTTATTTATTTATTTAATTTTATTTTTATTTTTATTGGAGTTGGGTTTGCTGCTTAGGGCCCCCTCGGCTGTTTCGGTCTTACGAGGACTTGGTGAATTTTGACACGAAGTTGAAACACCAGACGCCCATGTGGGTTAAATTAAAATTAAAATTAAATAATTTTAATTCATAAATTTAAATTCAAAAGAGTTTTCCTTCCACCCGGCTTCCAACTTTGCTGCTTTTACTCCCCTCGCTGCTGCTGCCAGCAGCAGCAGCAGCAGCAGCAGCAGCAGCATGAGCACAAACAGCATCAGCAGCAGCAGCAGCTCCCCAGCACCGCACCCCTACACCCGCACCCCCACCCCCACCCCAGCAGCAGCAGCTGCTGCAGCAGCAGCAGCAGCTTGCGGTTTGCGTGCACGCGCGGCAT